ATGGCATAAGGTCTTCTGCCTTGGGCAGGGGGTTGGACTAGAAGACCTCCAAGGCCCCTTCCAGCCCTATGATTCTATGTAATTCTATGTTTCTCCAGAGCAAACTACCCATTACTATAAATGATTCTGTGACTTCAGTTTCCATTTCAAAAGCACATGGAACATTTTGCTCAGATGAACGAAGCATGTAATCAATTCTAAATTATTTTTGAGGGTCTGTATTGTCACCCACAACAATTAAGTGGAGGAGACCATGGAAACAACCTCTGTTTGAGGTTTCTGGATTGACATAAATGGCAGAGAGGTAATTAGTTTGGTTTCCAAAGGCTTCATCAATCTCTTCGCCTGAGTTCCCCCAGGTCAGTAGCTACCTGGGCCTCAACAGAGAAAAATTATGAAGCAGCATTTTAATGATAATGGTAGACTTCTTGATCCTTTCAATAGATTACAGTTCCGTTTTATACAGACACACACACTTTAAAGATAATTCAATCTATCAAAGTATAATTATTGCCTGAATGAGTACACCTTTCACCCATGCATATATTTTACAATGTATATTTTATATGCAACTGTATATAATACTTATAAATGGTACGAGGCATAAGTGCTGCATATACTCCCATTTCTTCCCTCGGTTTTTTTCCCCAAAAAAGCAGGAAAAGGTGAGGATTTTTTTCCATTTTCAATATTTCTAGAGATTTTGCCTCTCTAACTTGGGAAGGGATGGACAGTTCCTCCACCCTCAACGGATCAAGTCCTCTAGAAATGTCAACTTTCACAGCCAACCCTGAGACACTAAGCACTTCACATCACAGTGCTGTGCAACTCAAAATCTTATGGTCCAAGCCAATACATTCAAAAACATTTATCACTTATGTTTTGGGAAAACCGGATGGCTCCAACTTTTGAGACATCCAGTTGCAGGCTAAAAGTGCTGACTTCTGGAATTCTTCAACTACAAATCCTATTTGAGGTTTTGTTAAGCTTTACTGGAGCGTTTCCTCACACAAAAATGCCACAGTAGAGAATCAAACAAGCCACAACCACACTGGGACTCTGAAAAGCAGCTGCTAAGAAAGCAAACCCTATGTCAAATGTATGGTTGGGCTGAAAGCTTTTTTAACTCGTGGCAAAAGTCCATGAAAAGAAAAATGCAGCCTAGATGATCACCCAGGGCCAGCTCAGAATACGACCACAAGGAGATTTTTAGCAGTGTTGTTTTGTTATGTCCTATAAGATCTCATGCATTGATACAACCATCTTTCTGTGGTTAAACAAGGACTACCTTTGGTTGTGAAGATGCTAGACTAGAAGGGAAATGCAGGTTTCCCACGGAAACTGACTTGGCATGATTTTGGGCCAGTCACTCTCTCACACCCCAAGAACCAGGTAGTCCAGTGGTGAAGGCTGGCCTGTTGCTCCAGAGTGACTTAGTGGTCTCCCATCTTCTAGTACATTCTCAGCCATGGAAGTATCCTCGGAGAACTTTGGATCAGTCTCTCCCTGTCAACCTTACACTGGAAAGTTGATCCAGGCTTATAATATGTATGAAATCTAAAGTATAAAATATGACTGTACAGGAGGAGTATCAGTAATCCAGTTTCAAATTCAAAACTGTGACAATTAAGTGCAACTTACAACCTATATTTTTGCAGCATGGAAAATTTAAAAAACTATTTTTAGGAGGCCATACTAAAGGGAGAATTTCAGACACAATGTAAGACAGAAGATACCATATATAGCAGTCAAATCTTGTTTTTGTAATCAAGAAGCAGCCCTGTCCTAACTCGGGCAGTGATGTTCATTACTACCAACAGAACAGAATTCAGGGCTCCTGATCACAGCACGAGTGAAAGTTATTCTAATGGGAGACGGTTGCAACAACAAAAGGTGAGTTTGACAACTTGCTTAATTAAGAATTCCCTACGTATAAGGTTCTCTGGTCCAGCAACCTCTTTTGGACAACCTAATTTAGCTAATACTTATGGCGTTCGAGCCGACAGCATACATGTGGCCATCATGTAAACCGATGGTTGGGCATCTATCCAGTAGTATCACTACATTTTAGGACAATTTCATGGATCATGTTGCAAGAAATACTTTCTTCTAAGTCTTCTGCCAATCAATTTCATTAGACAGTCTCTGGTTCAAGGAAGCACCACTCCCATGATCTGTGAAATTCTCTCTTAAAAACCACTTTGTCAACTTCAAATGGAAGCCCATCAACCATATGGGAACCCATGACCCTCAAGATGCTGCTCAACCACGATTCCCACTTGTCCCAGCTAGCATGGGCAATGGTGAGGGAAGATGGGAGTTGGAGTGTGAGGCATCTGGGAAATCATGGTTCCTCATACTTTTATTAGGAAAGAACTTTTCCACCATGCAGCCTTAAGTTGGAAACCAGCTATCAACCTTTCAAGGCAGACCAGGTCAGGAAACAGATTTTGAAGGACTAGAAGTATTCTTTATTACAACCCAATCTTGCAAGTTTGCCCAAGTCTTCTCTTCCCTCCCTCTTATACCCAAAGAATCATGGAAGTAGGAGGGAGCTAGACAGAATTCCTTTGTAATACTCTCCCACTTCTTTGGATCTAACACAAGTTTAGTCTGCAAATAATCATTTCCTAAAGACCTCCTGGTTCCTTCTCCAAGATCATCTCCCTACTTCCTACATCAGCTAGCAATTAAGTCACCATACTGGATTTCAAGCCAGTCCTCTTCTTTCACCACAGGGATGACCGTATTCTGCCCAAGTGGGCTCCGTTGCTTCTTTAGACCTCCCACCCATGGTCTTAAAGGACTTGCGATTTCCATTGGCAAACTTTCCTCATATACCCTTCCTCCATTGACTTGGCCTTGCACTTGACCCTTTTGGACATGTATGACTTCTCTAGCATGTTCATCTAGTTAACACGTCCAAAGTTAGTAGCATACACTGTTATTGGGACAACCCAGTCCTAAGAAATCAAAAAGTATTCCTTGATCTTCTTCAATTGTTCTTTCCCTGTTCCCACCTCAGTTTTAATTTCAGAACACTTAACTTGGGCAACATCAACCAGCTGTTGAATAAAACACCAATTGGGCATTTAAGGTTGAATCAACCACCTTCTTGTAGAGATTGCCGTAAGCAACCTCTGTAGGAAATAATATTCCTCTTTAATTATAACAATCCCAATATAACTCCTACCAGAGAATATTTGTCATCACATAATCATTATGCAGAGGAAATTGGAAGACCACCATTATGGACACTTTTTAAAAGCAGCAGGTCTATGGGGGCGGGGGAGATAGGAGTGAAGAGAATAAACTGAAAGCACTATGTAGCTGAAATAAAATTCCTAAAAATAAATAACGACTAAAAAAAATAAAAAGTGGATAAACGATGTGTTGATAGAATATTTGCAGCTCAGGGTTGGGATGCGGAGCCCTTGTTGCTCTCTTTTGAGCTCGGTGGTTTTTCTTGCAGATGTTTCATTACCCAATTAAGTCCCCACAACAACAACAACAAAAACTAATATTTACTAAACTTACATCCTGCCCATCTCACTGTTGAAGCAACTCCACTAATCCTCTCCCCCCCCCCACACACACACACACTTTCCCAGAGCAGCTTTTTTTTTTTTTTTTTTTCATTTTCTGGAAAGAAAGAAAGAAAAAAAAAAGCAAATAAATGCTTTTCACCCCTGAATGGTGAAAGGAAGGACCGCCAGGACTGAGACTCAATCCTTGCAAGAAGATGGATAAAAAAAAAAAAACAAGGCAAGGCGAAGAAGGAGGCCCTCAAGATGCTCAGGGAGAACTACACTTCCCAGCACCCATCGTTCCATAAGCCACCTCCCCTCCGCTCCCTTGGAAACCCATAAGCCACCCCAGAGCTTCCTAACCAGGGTTGGGTTTTTTGTTTTTTTTGCAAAGGGGGAAGTAAAAATAAATAAATAAATAAACCATCCAGGCTGACTTAAGCTATAAACCGGCTTTTTTTCAAGAGGCCGAAGTCCGGGGTCTTTCTTCTCGGGATGAGGCTTTTGGCATCCATCCCGTGCAAAGGGTGTGTGGGGGAGGGGGGGTTGTAAGAACCGGGCTGGGTTGGGAACACGCGTGGATTTGGGGGGGAGGGGAGAAGACCACCCCCCCCCAAGAAGGGAGAGAGAAAAAAAACACGCGGGAACTTCTGAACGGGGCTTGCTTGCATCCATCAATATCAAGTTATTACGATTATCCCTCAGCAAGTGCAATGAGGGACGATGGCAACCAGATATTAAATTTGGGGGGGGGGGGGGGGGTTTGGCAGCGAACACCCCGTTTAGCGCCAAAGTGGGGGGGGGGGGGGGGGGGGGGGGGGGAATCAGCCGAATAAATGTCAGCCCGGATTGACCTGAGGTATTTCTTTTCTTTCCCCCCCACACCTCACCCCCTCCTCCCCCACAAAGGAGGGAGCAGCTGCCCCAGACGAACTGCAGCCCCCTTTTTTTTGCTTCTTCTTCTTCTTGGCGGGATTCCTGAGGAAAAGACAAACGCTCCCCTCAACGGCCGCCTCGGGCTCGTCCTGAGGGAGGGAAATGGGGTTTGGGTGGGGAACTTATGGGGCCGGCGGCTCCCCTCAGGGAAAGACGCCTTTCCCACCGCCGCCTCTTCACACACACACATACAAACACTCAAAGGAGGCTCCTCACGTTCAGCGTGTTACACGCGTGTTTCCCTCCCTCCCCCTCCCTCCCTGAGGCACCTTCCCCCCGCCCGGCCACAAAAGTCTCCTCAGAGCTGGGCCCGCCGCGCTGCTCCCCCCCTCAGGCCCAGCATCTGAGGGTTGTGGGGGCCTCGGGGCCTCCTTCCCGCGCGCCACCAGCGCCGGAGCCCCCTCAGACTCGAGACCCGGAGAAGCCCCGAGCGGCCGAGGCCCAGCGCCCCAGCGCCGGCTCCCCTCAGGCCCGCCGGCACTTCGCCCTCCCGCCTTTCCCCCCCTCCCTCATTCCCTCCTCAGCCCCGGGACTCACCGGGTCCCGCGGCGGCCCCGGGGGCGGCTCCCCCGGCCGGGTACATGGCGGCCGAGCGCCGGGCTGCGTGGGAGGCGAGCGGCGCGGGAGTCCAGGCGGCGGCGGCGAGGGCAGGAGCAACGGCGGCGGCAGGGGCGGCCGAAAGAAAGGAAACCCGCCTCCGCCCGCGCCTCCGCCCCGAGAGGCTGGCAATGGGGCCGCCCTCCCTGCGGCCGCCCCGCGCTCCTCGCCGCCGCCCGGCCGCCCCGTTGCAGCTGCCCCGGCCCAGCGGGGAGAGCCCCGGCCGAGCATCTCAGCCGGCCTTCCGGGGACGAGGCGGGCGCCCGAGCGGCCGATTCCCACGTGCCGGGCGGTGGCAGCGGCGGTTCTGCCCCGGTGGCTCCGGAACCGAGCCTGGCAGATCCGGCTTTTCTCAGCCGGGCGTTGCAAGATTGGGCCTCGGAGGTTTTGGCTGACCCGAGACTGAGCGTCTCGTGTGAACGCGGCGCTCGCGTGTCGCCCGCCCGGCCGCCCCGAGGCTTTCGCGGGACCGTTTTTTCCCCGGAGTTAACGGGTTGGGGGATGCCGCTTCAAACGGCTCGCCACGGATACGTGTGTGAGACGGTTGCGAAGCGGCTTTGTGGCTTTTGAAACGAAAGGAATTGGACGCCGACGAGGGAGAGGTGGAAGAGTCGCCTGCAAACCAAGAGTTGTGTGTGTTTTTTTTAACCTGTCTCGTTTATTGTTTAGCCGTTCAAATAATGTCATTTATGTCTTTGATAAATGAGCTAACAACCATCGCTCCTTTTGGTCTGAAACGGTAGAGTTTCCTGCCTGGCCAGGGGGTTGGACTAGAAGACCTCCAAGGTCCCTTCCAACTGTATATTACTCACAGCACATTCCCTTCTTGTCTTTGGTGGGTTAATTTCTAAATCCATCCTGGAGATCGCATCATGCAACTAGTTCATATTCGTGGCATATCATGGCTTAACATGTTACACATAACAGCGGCTTCCAGGGCTGTTCTTGCCTAATGGCCAAATAGCCATTAACTAATTAACTAACTAACTAACTCACACACACCCAGTGCTTCTGCTGGTTGAACCCTGAGCTTCATGGTGAAGCAGGTGATGAAGGCAGCCCTTTAAGTCCGCAGATCTTCAGGTTGCCAAGGTTGAGAAACTTGGTGGTTTCCTGCTGGCTGTTGATGTCTGATGAGAGAGGAGGAAAATGAGTCATAAATTGTCCCATCAATCCCATGTCCTAATTTGCCCTTCTGGCTTTGGTCCTTCAACATTTTCACCTCCTGAATTAGATTTTTTTTTTTTGATTGGCCAAGTGTGATTGGACACCCAAGGAATTTGTGCATATGCATATCAATCATATATCATTGATGTTCTTTTTAAAAAAACATATATATAGAAAATGTATAGCCCAGAAAGACTCGGAGACTAAAACTCGGACTGTTATCCCAGCCTATTTTGATTAATAGCAATAGTACTTAGATTTACAACCCTCTTTGAGTGGTTTAGTCAGCCTCTTGCCCCCAATAATCTGGGTCCTCATTTTACCGACCTCAGAAGGAGGGAAGGCTGAGTCAACCTTGAGCCAGTCAGGATCGAACTGCCAAACTGCTGGCAGCCAGCAGTCAGCAAAAGTAGCTTGTGGTACTGCCTTGTACCTCTTCCAAACAGCCTCTTTGAGCACCTCCATCCCTTTCCATCTTAAAGGAAATCAACCCTGACTGGAGACTTTTAAAGAAGAGACTGGACAGCCACTTGTCTGAAATGGTATAGGGTCTCCTGCTTGAGCAGGGGGTTGGACTAGAAGACCTCCAAGGTCCCTTCCAACTCTTGTTATTTTGAAGCTGAAGCTCAAACGCTTTGGCCACCAAATGAGAAGAAAGGGCTCCTTGGAAAAGACCCCGATGCTGGGTTAAAATGGAAGGCAAAAGGAGAAGGAGACAGCAAAAGATGAGATGGCTAGATGGTGTCATTGACATGATGAACATGACTTTGGGCAAACATGGGGTGGCATTGGAGGATAGGCACTGGCGTGATGTTCCATACGGTCATGAAGAGTTGGGCATAGGGACTGAACAACAAAGTTCCCTTCTACTTTAACCATGCTAAGCAGCCTTTTTTTTCCTACTCCAGTTGCTTTATATGCCCAAAGAATGAGTCTAATTCTGTTTGATAATTAGAGCCACAATTGAGCTGTTAAGCCCAGGGATGATTGACCAACCAATTCTTGCAATCCATGGGTTATCTCCAAATCCATAATCTGAAAGGGTCAGTCTTCTTTCTCTCCTTCTTTCTCAATGTCCATCTTTTATATATGAACATACAATACATAATCATTCAGTGTATCATCCGAGTAAATCTTTTGTGTCTTCTTCTTACTCCTCCAATCTTTATCATATCTTGATATTATCATTTCATTTATTGTAACATTTCTCCATTTAATACATTTATCTATCCTATATATGTATATCTTCTCTAACCAATGATAAAATTGCCCCCATATCTTAAAATATTCCGATTCTTCTCTTTAATTGTCAAAGTCAATCTATTCATTTCTGCACAATCCAATATTTTCTTAATTACTTCTCCCTCTGTCGGGATTATCTCTGCTTTCCATCTTTGTGCAAATGCTATCCTCGCTGCAGTTATAACATGTATAATCAAATATATATTTTCTTTACTAAATTTCTCTGGTAAAATACCCAATAGGGACAGTTCAGGTTTTAAATCTATATGTTGTTGTATCATTTCTTCTAACCATGTTTTAATTTTAATCCAATAATTTCTCGCTTTTGGGCATGTCCACCACATATGGTAATACGATCCTGGTATCTGATGGCATTTCCACCATTTAGCTGATTTATCTTTAAACATTTTTGCCAATTTTTCGGGTGGCATGTGTCATCTGTAAAACATTTTATATTGATTCTTCTTATATGCTGTATTCCTTTCCCATAGCTGCTGCCATTTATCTAACTCAATTGAGTAGCCAAATTTTTTTGCCCAGACTATCATTGTTTACCTGTTGTTCTTCTAATTCAATACTAAGTAAATGGTTATATATTTTTTTAATTATGTGTTCTTCTGTTCCTGTGAGTAGCTTATCCAATTCTGTCATTTCTAAATAGAATCCATATAGTTTAGCATCTTTTTCATACCTTGTTTGAATTTGCATTGGGTACACCAGTCCATCTCAATCCCTTGTTCTTCTATTTCTTGTTTCCCTTTCAATTCCCCCTTATCTCTTAGAATATCCTTATATCTAAGAATATTTCTAATATTAATAATATTTGGATGTATTAATGCTTCCATTGTTGATAACCATGCTGGTATTTTCAAATAATATTTATCTCTAATCTTCTCCCACGCTAATAACTGCATTTCTTACATAAGGTCTTTGAAAATAAGTATGTATCTTCTGCCATACCATAAAAAGTCATGGCATCCCAATTGTAAATCATGATCTTCCAAATCAATGTCCATCTTTCAGAGTATATTATTATTGGGGAATGGGAGCTTTTTACTGCTCGAATCTTAATAATTATTGAAATACCCTTAACAGGAATGATCCTGCCTCAGTTTGTCATTTGATTCCTAGAATTAATCTTCACTTCACATCTAAAACGTAATGCTCAGTTTCCATCCAGAAAATAAAACTACTACCTATCTTCACTTGTCTGTGGAGATTGTGTCATCCAGATTATGGTTGTCCCAAAAGTGCTTGCTTTTTTTCAAGAAGCAACTGGATTTTCTGGGGGGGGTTTTCAAAACGTTTCGCTTCTCATCCAAGAAGCTTCTTCAGCTCTGAAGAAGCTTCTTGAATGAGAAGCGAAAGGTCTTGAAAGAAAAACCAGAAAGTCCAGTTGCCCCTTGAAAAAAAAAAGCATCTTTGGAACTATCTTCATTTCTTTACCGTCAATTGGGAGTTCTCCAAACATGAAGGTTGTCTTTTTAATAGTTAGCAAACCACATTTCTCACTTCTCATTTTCACTTTCCTAATGACTTTCACCATTATTTTTTAGTCAACAAAATTATGTCATCTGGCCGGTTTCAGCATCTGAGTTTAATTCCATTTGTTACAATCCTATGGTTTTTACAATATATCTGCCATGGAAGTCAAATATGGTGATAGTATGCACCCTCATCTTCCTTATTTCCCTATTCGGAATCTCTCAGTTTCTCCAGATTTGGTTCTTTAGTACTGCCCATTGTCTATGTAGATTCTCAATCTTCCAGATCATGATTGTCCCAAAGGTGTTTTTTCAAGAGGCAACTGGACTTTCTGTTTTTTTCTTTGAAGATGTTTCACTTCTCATCCAAGAAGCTTCTTCAGCTAGTGTCCATTGTACAGTTTTCGCAAAAAAAAAAGTAACCAATTTATTCTGGCACATTCATTAGCCTTTAATTGTCCCACAAGTTGGCATCTTCTATAGCATCAAAACTCTTACCATAGTCCACAATGCTAAGTAAAATCACCTTTGTTCATTATATTGGTCTTCCTCCCAATTCATTTTATTTCAATTATCTGATCTCAAGTTCCTCTGTCTATTTGGTGTTTCCCTTGCCAAATATAGCTCTTGTCTAATCTGTAGGTTCTTGGGCAAAACTTCCCTTCTAAGTAGTTTCTTCAGTGACTCCGTAATTTGCTCAAACCCTTGCAACACTTCTTTTGTACAGAAATTCATTCATTCTATTCACTTATTAATTCAATTTTTATACTGCCCCATCTCACTGAAAAAGCGACTGGGCCACTTGCAATATAATAAAAAAGTAAAAAAGAGAATACAAAACTATAAAGATTAAGAAGATTAAATAGAAAGCTAAAACCCAAGAGGATGGGCTACGTGGCAGTAGGGATCTTCTCTCTATCCCATCAGCCACCCGCAACACTCTCTTTATATAACACTCAGTCAAAAAGGCAGCAATGTAACAATACAGGTAGCCAATTAAAGTACATAACGAAAATAATACGTAGATTTGATTGGCAACTTGTTGAAGGAAACTACTCAAAAGTGGTATGGGAAGTTCAACTTTTAGGTAGACAGAGCTAGGTCTAGTAGAGCTCAGAAGTCCA